TGGTAGAAAAAAAATCACTCAAAACCGCAATGCACGTCTAAAAGAAAAAGAAACAATCGTGTAAATAAGAAAAAAAGTAAAAGTACTCGGATCCGTTAGGTGAAACCTTGGTAGGTAGGTCCTGGACCACTGCTGGGATATATATATATATATATATATATATATATATATATATATATAGATAGATAGATAGATAGATAGATAGATAGATATAGATATACAGATATAGATAAATATAATAAAATCTAATTTTCAGGAATGATATATTAATGGCTAAAAATGTTCAATATCGAGGAATGTATGTAATACAAAGGGAGACATTAAGTTCAACACCTACTGTTGTTGTTGGGCTCAGTGTTCAAGCACGCACGCACAGACGCATACACTCACATATACATATATATATATATATATATATACAAACACACACACACTATATATATATATATATATATATATATATATATATATATATATATATATATATATATATATATAAGTGTGGATATCTATCTATCACAGTTTGTTACTATCTATTTATTTATCTACCTTAGACTGTCATATCTATCTATCTATCTATCTATCTATCTATCTATCTATCTATCTATCTATATACACACACACACAGACATATATATATATATATATATATATATATATATATATATATATATATATATATAAAACCATTGTAACAGCAAAATTGTCCAAATGTTATATTAATCTCTGAACCGTTGTATCATAGAAATGACAAAGTATATTTCACTGGAATTCTGCTAGTTTTTTTGTTTTTTTTAACAATATTGAACTCTCCTTTGCCCAATATGAATGTGTAATTACTCTCCATGCTTAACCGAAGAATCGTGATGAAATCGATCATAAACGAAAATGACATGTTCATCATTAATTAATCATAGCTAAAGGTCGGAAGGTCATGAATTTTTGAAATAAAGTTTATGTATATATTATTCCAGGATCATTTTCCAACTTATTCCAGGTGATCTTCGCCATCTCTAACTTTCTAACATTCTGTCCTGGAGTAAGTCATTGCCTTATATATTTCACATACGATTTCATTTTCAAGTCTTTTTTTTCACTGCTCTTTGTACTGTCAGAGTTAAAACTCTTCTTTAACGTGCCAAACCTCTTATGGATTGAGTTGGATCTTTTCTAATTGACTTCTTTACCTCCAAGTTAAAATGATGATCCTTCTTCCTGTTGTGACTTGTGACTTTCTGGTCCCATTTTCCTCTCTACTCTTCCCTTTTTTTTTAAACTTATTAAAGTATTCTCTTGATGGTTCTTGGATGGAATTTGAAAATGAAAACCAGATTATGAATGTCGATAACATTGCTGAAGGCCTGAATGATTTTTGCCCTCCGGCCTTTTGGGAAGTCAATGAGTCTGACACAAAATGATTTTAACCTGTTCTCTTTCTAGCTGAATAACGCAAATGGTTTTTAGTGATTCTTACGACAAATGGTTTCAAGATGGCTGAACGTCTTGTCAGAAAATCTGGAAAAAGTAACTCAATTTGTTCAGTGTGTTTTTTTTCTTGAAAAATATGTTGTAACACAATATGAACAATTTTGATGTTTGATGTATATATATATATATATATATATATATATATATATATATATATATATATATATAGATAGATAGATAGATAGATAGATAGATAGATAGATACTAAAGACACATACAACCGACATTCCTCCGACAGGAATGTTGTTAATACTGTTTTTTATAAACACAGCATTTACTTAAATATTTGAATCTATAAAAAGAACGTATAAACGTAAAAATATATTAAATAATTGTCAGATTTTGTCCATTTTATAATGTGTGACGTCATTTGTTTACATTTGGATACGCTATGAGCAATATGAATGTATGAGAGAAAATCATGGAGAATTGTGTTTAAAAACGGTAAAATCGACTTGGCTAGCCGAACGATTCACCGTGGCCCAATCGGTTTGGCACGACAGTCTATATGACGCGTTCCGTATAGGATACAGGTTCGATTCCTGTCGAAGGACATATATTTTCTATAAAAAATTTCTTGTACCTTCTGGTCGGTAAATGTTGTTAATACTGTTTACAGATCAGTTACTTAATTATTTTGTATCTATAAAAAGAATGTATAAACATAAAAAAATGAGTTTTTTATTTATATATATATATATATATATATTAAATACAATTTTCTTTCTTAACTTATGATCTTTATTGGCAAGTAAACGATTTGAATGTCATCAAATTAAGTTTTATATAAAAATATAATGTATAAATAAGTATCAGTCAGTGGATATTTTTTCTAATGCCACATCCCCTAAGAAAATGGGACAACCGAGGCTCCTCAAACATTCTATTCGTCTGTTTTCTGAATTAGAATTCTTTTACTTTTATGTACCGTATCCATTCAAGACGTAGGCGAGCATGTCCCTCCACATCCTCATGTTCTCTGTAGCTCTTAAGAAGTTTCACTTTTTCGTTATTTCTCAAAAACCCTGTCGTGCCATCCATATGCTCAAGCCCATTACGTATGTCACCCGTTGCTTTTCTCTGTCCCTCTTCCGCTCAATCTGTCCTGTGAGTATCAGATTTTCCAAGCCTTCCGTCCTCATTACGTGACCCAGAAATTTCATCTGCCTCTTTCTGACTTTAAGTATAAGTTTCCTATTTGTTTCTATTTTTTCCAAGATATTTTTGCTCACATGTTCAGCCCATGGTATCCTCAGCATCCTTCTGTAGATCTACGTTGCTTCGAGTTTTTCTTCATCTTTGAGGAGATTGTCCTGCCTTGTTGGGGGATAGATATCACGTAGCAGATCAGTACTATTTGTTTCCAACGAAATTTTCCTGTCTCTTTATACTCTGCTTAGATTTAGGAATGCCCCTTTTGCCATCCCAATACGTCTTCGGATATCAATGTCGCCCTTTCCCTCATCTGTTTGAACACTTTTCCAACATTTAAATTTCTGTACAAGCTTGATTTATTATTCTCGACCTCTAATTTGCATTTTGAATACATCATTTTCCTGATGACTATGTATTCTATCTTCTTGTATTTTATACTTAGTCCCTTCTTCTCGCCCTCCTTGGCTAGCTTCTGTAGGAGGTTTTGCAGTGTCCTCTCCTTGTCTGCTGATATCTGCATATCTTATATTAAGATTTTGGCTGCCAATGATGAATCCTGATGATTTCTTATTTTTCTCATAATTACGTAGCTTTATAGGTTAAATATGTCTGGTGGGAAGACAAATCCTTGGATTATGTCCCTTTCTATTTTTGTATATCTGCTGGACTCATTTTTTGTCCGTAGGCAGGCGGTTTGCTGCCAGTAGAGATTTTTGATTATTCTAATGTCTTTCCAGTATATGTCAAGGTTACTAAGCAGCTCTAACAGATCTTTGTGGCGTAGTTTGCCGAACGGCTTTGTATAGTCTATAAAACACAGGTACACATACTTCTGCATCTGTATCGCTGTTTCTAATAATATTCTGAGCATAAATATTATGTTCCTGTTCTGGTGCCTTTGACGAACCCGCACTGTTCTTGTCCTATCTCCGGCTTGATTCTGCTGTGCGCTCTTTTCATCAGAACTCGGATGATCAGTTTTGTTATGTGGCTCATTAGGTTGATTGTTTGGTGGAGATCAGAAACTTCTTGAAAATGGAGTTGACTGCTTTCCGTTGCATCTTCGACTCTTTTTGCATTTAATGAGCAGGTGGTAGAGAAGTATTCGATTGGTGGCTTTCTCACCGGTTGTGTAAACGTGAAGGCATCAGTCTAGGTTCGGCTTTGAACTCGCAGAGTCGAAGTTGCTTTACGCACCGATAATTATTAACGTGCATGCACAGAAAGAATTATTACTTGATGCATCATGCACAAAAAGGATACTTCTACTTATACAATCGCATAAATATAGCCCCATATATTTATATATGTATGTGTGTGTGAATTGAATATACGTATAAACTCTCTCTCTCTCTCTCTCTCTCTCTCTATATATATATATATATATATATATATATATATATATATCTCTGTATATATATATATATATATAGAGAATGTATATATATATATATATATATATATATGCTCTCTCTCTATAGATATATTACTATATATATATATCTCTCTATATATATATATATATATATGTATATATATATATATATATATATATATGCTCTCTCTATAGATATATTCTATATATATCTCTCTATATATATATATATCTCTCTATATATATATATATATATATATCTTTCTTTCTCTCTCTCTAAATATATACTCTCTCTCTCTCTATATATATATCTAAATATATCTCTCTCTCTCTATCTATCTCTCTCTCTCTCATATATATATATATATATATATATATATATATATATATATATATGAGTTGCAACTATTCACAAATATGAAAATAGAAATAAAGACATAAATCCCTCGGGCCTTTGCTGTATGCTTTCTTGAAAGACGAAACCCTAATGGAGTTCTTTTTTTCCTACTGCTTTTCGTTTGTTGATAGCACTAGAAGAATGGTCAGCTCTGTAATATTCCCCAACGCCAGCACAGAATGGCATTAGAAATTAATAGACTGGAAACTGCCAACCGCTTTATGGCCGACGAAATCGCCTTACTAACGAGAATAAGAGAATTCTATGATGTGAAATTACAGGGATCATCGGGGAACTTGATGAGAACTCAACGATTTCACACATTTTTATACTGATTAACTTTGCACATTCTAACAAAGTCCATAATCCAATAGGAGCATGGGTTACATTTTAATGGATCTATCATTCTATCTATCTATCTATCTATCTATCTATCTATCTATCTATCTATCTATCTATATATATATATATATATATATATATATATATATATATATATATATATATATATAATTGCTATAGATAGAGCATATATATATAAAAGTGGACACTGAGGTCAACAAATAGCGCCAAAAAGTCTGTTTCATGCTCTTTCAAACACGAAACGTTAAATCTATCTCAGTCTTTTTATCTATCTATCTATCTATCTATCTATCTATCTATCTATCTATCTATCTATCTCTAGCAATTCCCCCAGCTTCATTTCCCACGAGTTAGTTTCCTCGAAGTAAACGCCAGAAATAAACAATTCCGAGGAATTATTAAATAATGGCCCCAAAGCTGATAATTCCGATATTCCAGAAGAGTACATATAATGCGTTTTAATTTTTTATTTTTTAGACTCAATTTAAAGAAAAGTCTTCTATACCGACAACCTAACTGTACGAGAAGAACAAATTTCTGTCGCCTAACTTTTCTTTCAGTATAGTAAAATTCTCTTCTTTCTATTATTATTATTGGTAAGAAGGAATTTCCATTCCTGCAGTTTCTTGCCAAGGACTGTTGCTTGGGGAACAAACTCCCGACAGGTTGCTTCCTCGACCTCTAAAATCTCAATTACTTCCAATCTTGATTCAACCATAATCTGTCCTACATATTCTCATAATCTACAAGTCTTACGTCTTTACAACAACGCCACTCAGTAAGCCTCTAACTTGGGTGGCTCTTGGAGCTTGTATTGTGTAAATAATAGGATAGAAGAATTATATTTTTAACTTCTTACTGTGTCTAATTTATAAATTAAACTATATCTTTGTTTGCATATATATATTTTCAGTATATATAAACAGATTGTCATCTAAATATACTTAGAAAAACGATTATTAAACACCTACTGAAATTATTTGCATATATCCAGATACACATAAACAATTGCATGTTATAGGTGCATGGCTGAGTAGTCAGACAGTATGCATTCTGACCATGGGACGAGGGTACGAATCTTACAATGGTCGATTTGTCAGGAATGTGACGGGGGGGGCAATCCCAGCTTGGTTTACCTTTGTAAAGTCCTTAAATATCAAGGGTTGTGAGGGAAATTGGGTAAATAGTACCGTTTCGAATCTGTCAGTTGTGTGTACTGGCCTTATTCAAAGAACTGATGATCAAGGCAGAGCGCGTGCTTCTCCAAGAAACTGTTTAGCAAGCTCTGCTCCGAATAGTTGCAGTATAAACAACATTTGGGCCCAATGGATTTTGAATAAAAAACAAATGTAACTGAGCAGGTGTCTGCCTAAGGGAATATGGTGATGGTCGGAAAACAAATATCTAAATTATTATATATATATATATATATATATATATATATATATATATATATATATATATGAACACACAAACGCAAATATGCACGCACATACAGTTATTTTGAAGTTATTCTGCAAGTTACAGAAAGTGCAATAACTTAAATTTGTTTCAAAGATATTTTGTCAATTTTAAACGATAAATTTAAACGTTAAAACAAATCTTTTTGTTTCATTTTTAGCTACTTTCAATGTCTTAGCAAAGTTATAAAAAATACAATCTAAAGTTAATATGACAAACAAGAAATTCACTTTTTACTTTAATAACAAGGTATGTATATCATCAACAATTGATCAGCACCTAAATGATATACATACACACACACTTATATATATATATATATATATATATATATATATATATATATATATATATATATATATATATATATGCTGAAAAGAATAATGATTACAGTCGGAAAAACCAGGAAACAGTATTATATTAAAACGTGCTCGATACACTACATCCTCCTACTCCCTTCCTATTATACCCAACGATTTGCGCCCATTTATTTATTTTTTTGATTTAATATAGCGTTGTTGTTAATAATTTTTAAAAATCATTTGATGCAAACCGCCTCACGATACCGAAAGGTTGAAAGCAAGGTAGCGCAATTGTCTGATCTCCTATTTTTGTTATATATATATATATATATATATATATATATATATATATATATATATATATATATTGCATAGAAGAGCAATCAAATTTGAGAAGCTATTTCTACAAACAAGCTAGAAGTGTGAAGAAATAAAATAAGAACTTAAAATTTAAATATTTAAAAAATAAAAGAAGATGAAGGTAAAAAGGAAAGAGAAAACAAAAAAGGTAAACAAAAAGAAAAAGAGAGAATAACAGAAAAGAAGTGGGAGGCTGCAGATGAAAATATAGAAATTCAGTTAAATATTAAGTATTAAGGGAGGGGAAGTGTAAGTGTCTGTTTCAGATAGACAGTTAAAATAATGTTGACCTATATTTTAAAATATTAACATCCCAAATCAGGTAGAAATGGAATCACTAAATTAAAGACACGAGTTCAATTTTAAAAATTAAAATAGAAAATACTAAATATTAGTTTTAAATCAAAGAACAAATATTTTATCTTTTTTTAAGAAAAATTTTCCAAATTCATGCTAGCAAAAAAATAAAAAAATAATAACCATAAATAGATAGTTTGTATAATGAGAAATTTAAAATTTAAAAAATATAATATAAATATAACAAATAAAAAATAAAATTTGTAAAAAAAAATTAAAAAAAAAATATATATATATATATATATATATATATATATATATATATATATATATATGAGAAATAAATTAAAAACAATTAAATGATAATTAAAAGAATAACAAGAACAAAAATAAATAAATGAATAAATAATAATAATAAAAATAATAATTTTAAAAGAGCAACATTAAAAAATAAAAAGTAATGAGGTTAAAAAATAATAAAATAAATATAAAAAACGATAAAAATGAAGATAAAAATATAGATAATAAAATTTATGAAGATAAAACATCATAATAAGGAAAGAAATCAGAGAAAATGCTTTTAAACATAAACAATTTTAAAAAATATTAATTACATACAAAAATCAAAAAACCGTAAATTAGCGAAAGGTCATCAGGTAGTATTGAAATAACGATATATGTTTTAGATGATAACAAATTAAACAAGATCAATAATATTTTAGATCAGTTTATACCTACTACTGTGACATCATTTAGGAACCAATTAATTCCTTTAGTAGTATAGTTTCATTATCGAATTTAATTCTCTTCTAAGCACTGGTTACCTCTACCTTTAAAATTATTAGGAGTGTGACCAAAACCTATGACTTTCCAGTCAATCTACGTGTTCAGATCTTTCTCCCTCAATTCCGAAAATTATTTGGAAAGAAGTGTTTGTTTTTTTACATCACCAGGTTCAATTTCCGACATGTTGGTTTTAAATGTTTCCCATGGGTCAGTTTTTCTGTCATATGATTTGCGACCTTGATATAATTTCCTCTTCACAACTGATTTTCGGTCGGATTCAAGTCGGGATTTTATGTTGTTCCATTAGGAAGGAGATTTGTTGTGCATAAATAGACATTTCACTTTGAAACTCCGAGTTGTACCATTTAAAGAAAGCCTTGTACATGAAACCGTAATAGTTCATTCTGTTCGTTTTATCTTCATCTATTTGAATGGTCCAATAATTCCCTCCAATATCATCAAAACACCGCCTCCTTGTTGCTTTCCTTTAGCCACAGGCACATATCATCGGATAAAATCGATCGTTTGGCCTATCCATCAGCTCCATCCATGAGATTTGCGAAGTTATTTCCCACCTTTTATACTCTCCCAATTCCAGTCATTTCAAAGATCTAAGTACTGGTTAAAAGTGCTGTTTCGCTTTAGTCTCGTTGTCTTAGGAGAGATAAGATCTTAAAGACTTCTCCGTTGATTCTAGTTCTCAAAATATTTTCAACAACACTCTATATCAGTTTTGATTCTGATGTCGTCAGCGTTAAACAATGTCGATTTTCTTTAACAAATGAGATGAAAAAGAAAAGGCTAATGAATAAAGTTGCCTTAGGAAAGCAGAGAAAAGAGACACTTTTTTTTCTACACAGTAAACAGACAATTTGCAATGCTATGTAAGTACATTTCAAATTTGTTTATTTTTTTTCTAGAATCGAGTTTACAGTCAAGAAGACCGGTGCGCATAACATAGCATAACTCAGTGTATGTAAACACACACACGCGCACACATCCAAACAACTACAATAATGAAGAGAATGTTGAAATAGTTGCAATATACGCTGTTACTTAGCTATCCCCCATTGAAGGCGATCAGTTATATATATATATATATATATATATATATATATATATATATATATATATATATATATATATATATATATGTGTGTGTGTATATATATATATTATAAATTAATTGATTTAAAACATGTTTTTTCGTTACACAGTTCTAACCATGTTTCAAAATGGAAGCTAAAAAAGCCTCGAATTTGATTTTGTAATTAAATTTAACATTAGTTCCATTTCATCCTCAAGCGAATTTTGTGTGTGAATTTTCAAAATTCGCTTGAGGATGAAAAGGAACTAATGTCTTTGATTTAATTACAAAATTAAATTCGGGGCTTTTAGCGTCCATTTTTGAAACATCGTTAGAACTGTGTAGCGAAAAAAAACATATTTTAAATCAATTAATTTATAATATTAATGCTCTGTAAATTTACATTGAGCACTATTTTGTAAAAATAAAAATATCTATAAGAACACCGGATTATATATCTTACTGTTCTTTCTTTATATATATATATATATATATATATATATATATACAGACACATATACATATATATATGTGTGTGTGTGTGTGTGTGTGTGTGTGTGTGTTTGTGTTTGTGTGTGTGTATGTGCGTGAGAGAGATAACGATATATATTTTTATATATCAAGAACAATATTGGGCAAATCATATGACAAAATGAAAAAAGTGTATTTGTGATGCGTTTTATCCTTCGGGATTTCATCAGACTAAATTTGTTTATGTTAGTACAACTACACATGTAGACGAACGATGGGTGTTGGGGATTTTAGAAGATATATACATTCATTTAAAGTCTTTTTCTTTTTCTTTCCGTCACTTTTGTTAATAGGTACTCCGCATAGTGATCATAGAAGATTTGCCAGGAATGGTGAAAAGAAAACTTTGTGATAAAAGCACTCTAGATATTTACGCTATAGTGAATTGTTTTCTCCTTTGATAAGAGTAGTATTGTGGATAGACTCTGGGTCCTATAAGTTGGGTGGCGAAGTGTCTAGGAGAAGGACAACTCTGAATTTAAAAAAAAAACGGTGGTGTGTCATTTGGAGATCTACTGTGCACCA